TGATTAACTATTGTGAGGATTTTTAAAAATATAATTTTATTGGATTTTACAATTTTATCATCATCACAGTCATTATTTCCAGAAAAACAAAACAAAATAAAGTGTAGATCCCCCACCCCCAGTGATTTCCCTCAACTTCTTTTTCTATTTTTTTTGTTTGTTTTTGGTAAATTATCTCTCTCTGCTTATTGGTTATTTCTTGTTCATTAAGATTTCCCCCCCCCCCCCATAATCATTATTCTCTTACCATTCTAACATCATATCTCTATTTCTACATTTGTTTTGTTGATTGCAAATGTTTAATCAAACCCTGCAAGTGAGTCCATTTCTTTACATTGATTCTGTAGATATAGCATAAATGGTTCCCAGTCTTTCTTAAAATCTCTATTGTCTTTGTCTGTTAAAAAAGTCCTCTCAAAAAAGTCGTCACTTGAAAAGTGTCTCCGGATTCATTGAAAAAAATCTGGTAACCTTACTCTACAGCGCCATCTGGTGTCACATTTATATAACGCACTTATAACGTTATAATAGCAGCTGTGTAGCTGAGACCCCAGACCGATGGATTTCTCCATCCCTATCATCCCTATCAGTGAGTTCTAATGTTGAAGCAACCAACACTGGAGCAAATCTAATTCACAGAATGAAGAACAGTTAGGGATGTATGAAACTATCATGTTTTAAATCAGACCATTGGTACTTCCAGGACAGAATAGCTCCTTCTTCCTGGGAAGGCAATCCAAATGTCAATACTTTGGTGTGTGTGTGTGTGTGTGTGTGTGTGTGTGTGTGTTTAGTACCAGAATGAAATAATTGACCACAAAAAAACAACAGAAATAATACTTGCTAATGAGCCCAACCTCGATTTCAGCATAAGCAGAGCAATTGTTTCCAGTGCTAGACTGAAGAGTTAGAAAATGGTGAGCGCAAAATGAAAAGGAGGGATTCCGGGAAGACAAATGATTTGTTCTTCTTTATCCAGGTGTGTCCGTAAGCCACACAGCAAGATGAATTGCCAGCTGGCGTGCCTTGTATGCGCGGCCCAAGAATACCAACCAGCAGAAAACAAAATGGGAGGCTTGTGCTTCTTATTTTAAAAGTCAGAACGAATTAACGAAACAAGGAATGACCTACCACTGCGAAGCAAAATGAGCACTGAAGCTAAAATTAGTAGCGAGTTTGGAGCATCTTCTTTGCCCGAGGACAAGCGAAAGATGATAAATGGTGACAGTGAGAGGAATCATCACTGCAGTGCCAGGCTACTAAATAAATAATCTCATTAATCTTCTCAACACCACTCACCTACTTTTTCTGCTACATTTCCACCAGCTTGATGAATTCCGCTCCCCCTCCCCACCCTGCAGAACCAATGATGGCTTCATTTATGATGCCAACATGATTTGCTAACAGCTGGAACTAACAGTATTCAACCTTTAGCAGCCAATGAATAAATCGCAAAACATTTGCCAGCTTCTAGTTGAGTCCCTTGGTTTCATCTTCCTCAGTTCTCTAATGTGAATTCACGTGGTACTTTCGTTGGTCGTACCATCCATAGCAATTAGGATTTTAGAGGCTATATGCTTCCAAATACAGTGGTACCTCTGGTTATGTACTTAATTTGCTCCGGAGGTCCGTTCTTAACCTGAAACTGTTTTTAACCTGAAGCACCACGTTAGCTAATGGGGCCTCCCATTGCTGCCGCGCCGCCGGAGCACGATTTCTGTTCTCATTCTGAAGCAAAGTTCTTAACCCGAAGTACTATTTCTGGATTAGCGGAGTCTGTAACCTGAAGCATATGTAACTTGAAGTGTATGTAACCTGAGGTACCACTGTACCAGTTGCTAGAAATCACAAGTGGGAGAGTGTGCTGTTGCGTTCAGGTTCTGCTGGCAGGGTTCCCAGAAGCATCTGAGAACATGATATTGGGGTAGATAGGTCTTTGGCCTAATCCAGTGGGCTCTTCTTGTGTTACTTAAAACCTTTGGAGGATTATCTGTCAAGTTTGCCATTGTGGTTTGAGAGTGACGAGACCCAAAACCTCCTTGGTAGTGGTGTTATATTTCATGCAGTGCAGTTAAACTCACTCCCATAACTCGCAGTGGTGGCCTCCAACATGGAAGGCTTTAAAACAGGATTGGACATGGGAAATGATATTAAATGAATTGGAAACAATGTTTAAAATAACTTTTGTTTTTTTAAAAAGAAGCAGCTTTTTAATCAGGAATTCTAGGTACCGACACACCAAAGAAACAGAAAAGACTCTTTATGTATGTGACAACAGTCGCATAGATGTTATTAGCCCAAAGATGGAAAGAAGACAAAGTCCCTACCAGAGAGGAATGGCAAATTAAACTGTTGGAGTATGCCAAAATGACAAAACTGACCGGAAAGCTCAGGAACTAAGAAGACAAGAACTTCAAGAAGGAATGGGGGAAATATTGCAATTTATTTAGGACACCACTGTATTTTTTAAATATAATAATTTTTATTAAATTTTCAATTTTATCAGAATCACAATTCCATTACATAATTCCATAACCCCAAGCATTGCTCTGAGTATCAACTTCCCCTGTCCCTCTTTCTGACTTCCAGAGATAATTACTTTATTCTTAGCATTTCTATACCCACTTTTTTACCTTCTCACTTCTTTTTGTTTCCCCCCTCATTAAATGTAAATCAGTTCCTTATATTCACATTACAAAACATTTCAACTCAAACCTACAAACGTTTTCAGATGTTTACAATGTTCTTTCATATATAATATAAATTTGCTCCAGTCCTTTTGAAACAGTTCGCCGGGCTGCCTCCGGATCTTCCCCGTCAGCTTTGGTAACTCTATGTATTCCACCATCTTACTCTGCCATTCTGCCAATGTTGGATTTAGGAGACCACTTTAAGCAATAAAAACATTAGCAGGATTTTGATAACAATTGTAATGTAATCAACACTGTTGACAAATATGGAGAGGTATAATATATGGATTGTGAAACATTATGTAGCTGAAGATGTTTGACAATTGGAGCCATGAAGGGGGGAAGTTGGGAGATTCAGAGAAATCTCAATACAGTGGTGCCCCACAAGACGAATGCCTCGCAAGACGAAAAACTCGCTAGACGAAAGGGTTTTGCGTTTTTTGAGTCGTTCCACAAGACGAATTTCCCTATGGGCTTGCTTCGCAAGACGAAACGTCTTGCGAGTTCTTGCGAGTTTGTTTCCTTTTTCTTAAAGCCGCTAAGCTGCTAAGCCGTTAATACAGTGGTGCCTCGCAAGACGAAATGAATCCGTTCCGTGAGTCTCTTCGTCTTGCAGTTTTTTCGTCTTGCAAAGCACGGCTATTAGCGGCTTAGCGGCTATTAGCGGCTTAGCGGCTATTAACGGCTTAGCGCCTTAGCGGCTTTAAGAAAAAGGAAACAAACTCGCAAGAACTCGCAAGACGTTTCGTCTTGCGAAGCAAGCCCATAGGGAAATTCGTCTTGCGGAACGACTCAAAAAACGTAAAACCCTTTCGTCTAGCGAGTTTTTCGTCTTGCGAGGCATTCGTCTTGCTGGGCACCACTGTAGCCGCTAAGCCGCTAAGCCATTAATGGCCGGGCTTCGCAAGACGAAAAAACCGCAAGACGAAGAGACTCGCGGAACGGATTAATTTTGTCTTGCGAGGCACCACTGTATATGGTTATCTATTTGGCATTGTTATAACTTTGTATTTGTAAAATCAAATAAAAATTATTTAAAAAAATAAAAATAAAAGAGGATTAGACAAATTAATGGAGGAGAGAGCTATCAATGGTTGGAGGCAGCAATACTTCTCAATACCAGTTGCTGGAAACCACAGGAGGGGGGAAGGCTCATGGGCCTGACTCCTACTTGTCAGTTTCCCAATAAAATTATTATTATTATTATTATTATTATTATTATTATTATTAAGCTCCCAGTACGTTTCCAAGCACAGTTCAAAGTGTTGGTGCTGACCTTTAAAGCCCTAAATGGACTCGGTCCAGTATACCTGAAGGAGCGTCTCCACCCCATCATTCAGCTGGACTGAGGTCCAGCTCCAAGGGCCTTCTGCTGTTTCCATTGCTGCGAGAAGTGAAGTTACAGGGAACCAGGCAGAGGGCCTTCTCGGTAGTGGCACCCTCACTTCAAATGTCAAGGAGTATACAACTTTTAGAAGACATCTGAAGGCAGCCCTGTATTGTCAAGGTTTAAATGTTTGACGTTTTACTATGTTTTTATATATTCTGTAAGCCGTCCAGAGTGGCTGGGGAAACCCAGTCAGATGGGTGGGGTATAAATAATAAAATTATTATTATTTATTATTATTATCTGGTCGGTCACAGAGAAAAAAGGATGCTGGGTAATATGGTCCATTGGCCTGATCCAGTAGGCTCTTCTTACGTCTGGAGCTCTTTGTCCATAGAAAATTGCATCAGCTGTTGTTGTTTTTACTGTTATTTAAAGAGGATTTTTGCACCAATCTGGGCAACTGACCTAGAGCTTCATTTAAAGTGCTTCTGATTTTGTCATTCTCTGTTTCCTGTTCTTTCATAATTGCATGCTTTTTAATGCTGGGATGTATCAGAAACTTCTTTTTAACATGTATTTTTCTATAAAGTTTTACTTGTAAACTGCATCTGAAGCTGGGAATATACATCTCCCCAAATGACTGAATGGATGGGTATTTTGGATATCTAAATTGGCAGGTGATTGATATGCAAAAGGAGTAGCTTGAACAGCTAGGGAGATGGATCATCAAAGTATAAAGAAATATTTTGAATTGGTAGGTTTTTACCATATTGGCTTTGTTCACATTGCTTTTGATGTGATGCGTTCCGAAGTCATATTAGGCATAAACATTTCCCCTCTGCATAATAATGATTCATATGGGTCTGGACTACATCAGTTGATTTATCATCTTCATTGAGGATGCAATCCTATGGTCTGTGGAAGAGCATCCCAGAGGGCCATAGGATACAGCAGATCTCCCTCTCTGCCTGCAGAAGAATGGCCATGGCTCATTTGCAGAGCATCTGCCTTGCATGCAGAAGACCCCAGATCCAATCCCTGGCAACTCCAGGTAGGGCAGAGAAAGATTCTCTGCCTGAAACACTGAAAAGCCACTTCTAGTCTATGCTAAGTTGGATGGGCCAGGGATCTGACCTGGTATCAGGCACTTTTCTGTGTCCCTACGAGTTCTGTGTCCCTAGGAGCTTAGGGCCCTTGTGTTTATGGGACCCTGGCATGCTTTGGTCCATGGGGTCATGAAGAGTCGGACACGACTAAATGACTAACCAACAACAACAATTTACGGGACCGCCCCTCCTGGTATGCCCCGCAGAGGACCTTAAGGTCCATGAATAACCATGGTTTAGAGGTCCCGGACCCTAAGGAAGTCAGACTATCCTACACCAGGGCCAGGGCCAGGGCCTTTTCAGTGATGGCTCCAACCTGGTGGAATGCTCTGGCCCATGAGACTAGGGCCCTTCAAGATTTAACCTCCTTCCATTGGGCCTGTAAGACAGAGCTATTCCGCCTGGCTTTTAATTTGAATTCAAGTAGGACTAATTCAGCCAGCTAGCCATGGTGATTATCTAATGTTTATTAGATGGATTTCTCCTAAATTGATTTCTGAACTTTGAATTTTATTGTTATTCATGTTTTTATACTGTATTTTATGCTGCTTTTACAATTTTTTAAATTTGTTGTTAGCCGCCCTGAGCCCAGTTTTTGAACTGGGAAGGGTGGGGTATAAATAAAAATTAATTATTATTATTATTATTATTATTATTATTATTATTATTATTTGTTCTGTGCAGGCAGAACAGGAGTTTTGGCCTTATAAGCCTTCCCACTATGGGCACAAAAACCTCTTGTCCCCTTGCTGCCAGGCCATCAATGCCCCCTTGCTGCCAGGCCATCAATGCTTCAATGGTGGTAATGGCAAAAAAGTGGCAGGCCAAGGCAGATCAGAAGAGACTCCTGCCCCCAACATTCCCCCAGAATGGAAGAAAAATTATACCCACCTTGGAGCTGACGTACTTATTTCCCCTCCTTCTGCCCTGGCATGCATAAGATTGTCAGGGCTTTGGACTGGGAAGATTCTCAGTCATGGTTTCTCCCTGCTTCCTTCCTGCTGGATATCTCCCTGAGGAAACCCTGGTGTTGGTATTGCCCTGCCACATGGTGACGGCTCAGTCCTATCACCATGGAAAGGGACACTTTTACTCAGTGGCACTGTGGGTTAAACTACAGAGCCTAGGACTTGCCGATCAGAAGGTTGGCGGTTCGAATCTCCGTGATGGGGTGAGCTCCCGTTGCTCGGTCCCTGCTCTTGCCAACCTAGCAGTTCGAAAGCATGTCAAAGTGCAAGTAGATAAATAGGTACCGCTCTGGCGGGAAGGTAAACGGCGTTTCCGTGTGCTGCTCTGGTTCGCCAGCAGTGGCTTAGTCATGCTGGCCACATGGCCACTGGCTCCCTCGGCCAATAAAGCGAGATGAGCGCCACAACCCCAGAGTCGGTCACGACTAGACCTAATGGTCAGGGGTCCCTTTACCTTTTAGGAGAAGCCAGTCCCTGTCTACCCAAATCCTGGGGTATATTTATTCAGACTCTGTGGGGCAGACCTTAGATACTTCCACCTGGGAGGCTTCAGGCCGAGATGCTGACAGGGAACATATCTGTGTGGTGAAGGCAAAGTTACAACTAACCAAAAGAGCAACCACAACCACTGTAAATAACTTGATTACTAAGGGCTCTTCCCCCACAAGTATCCAATACTACCTTGAGCATCTACAGTTTCTGATGTGGAGAGGTGGAGTATAAGTACCTAGATAAAAAGGTATTGCTGTGATAGTACCTGGATCAATAGGTATTCCTACAATACCTGTATGGAACTTCCATGTTAAGGTGGTTTTCAGCTAGGTTTTGCTCAGAATAGATCCACTGAAATTAATTAGCATGACTAAGCTAGATCCATTAATTTCAATGGGTTTACTTTGAGAAAAACGTAGTTGAATACCAACCACCCTCATAGCTTCCCATTGGTCACTGAAGATAACCATAACTTGAGCTAGATGGACCATTGGTCTGATCCAGTACAAGTCTTCTGGTGTTCTTATTACTTTCCATTTCTTCCTCTAATTAACTAATAACAATCCATTTCAGAGAAGTTTCCCTCCTTTGGAATGGAATATGACCACGTTGTTGGACCTTCTGGGTCATTTTCCACTCCCAGATGTGCAGAGTTTGGTACAATGTCTTTGTGTCTCTCTTCAGTTCTCAGTAACAATGATGTGCACGTCAAAGTCAAGGATGCTGAAACTTCCACCACCCTCTTCAACCTTGAAAAGAAGTATGATTGTAGATTACAAATAAGTCACCATCAGGTTGCTCTTTATCACTGGAGTGGGATGCTGATTCTAACTCCACATGAACCAATTTTCAGCTGCTAAACCCCGCATCCACAAGGCACAATCTCCTCATCTCCTTGGTCTAATGTTCTCAAATGCGCCAAGGCACTGAAACAGTGCTATTTTTATGGTTTGTTTGTGTTAACGAGATAAATATGCACTTACGTACAACTTTGAAATGACTTCTTAGGGGTTTCTCTCTCTTTCTTTTGCTTAAGCTGCCTGAGAGATACTCTGTACAAAGCCAGTTATTCCCCTCACATTCCCCTTTTAAATGTGTTTCCTTGGCAACAGAAGCCCCCAGAACAGTATCCAAGCACTTTTCCTTAGTTTTCCTTCAGCTGAACTTTCTTTGGTTCACAAGGCTGAATGGAATGTTAGATTCCTACATTCTTCCCACCAATGATTGGATTTACATATCTGTGAGTTAGCTCTGTTAGGTGATGCACTGGCCTTCTGAAATGTCATCATACTGAAGGGAGAGCAGCTTTAAACCCTCAATGTTCCATTGTTTGTCTCCTCCATTTCTTTAGTATTGAAACACAAATATTTCCTTTTTTAAGATTTTGGTTTTAAAAGATGTGAAGGGGGTTCTTGCTTTTCCTTCGTCATTTTACCCAGATATCTTTCTGAGTTGTTAACCAACCCATAAAAAAAGTAATCTGCCCCACACCACAAAACTTGCCCTAAGCAGATCTGATTGTGTTTCTCAGTTGTCTCATTTGCCAGGTTTCAGACATCTTGGTGCAAAAATCCAAATTTTGGGTAAGTTAAGATTATTATTATTATTATTATTATATTTTGTTTATTTTTTTAAAATAATATTTATTGAGAATTTTAAAGTTACAAAGAAAGAAGAAAGAAAAGACAAAAGAGGGAGAAAAAGAGAGAAAGAAATAGATAAACATAACGATTAGACAATACAGATCAATAAAAACCAAAGTAAAAAAAAAAAATTAACAAAACACACAATACATCTAAATCAAAAAACAAAAATAAACAAACAATTAAAAAAAACAAATCTAATATTCCCAAATCCTTAACTTTCATTAACTTATTTCAACGACCTCCTCACACCTCCCTTTTTTGTATTCTAGTTGTTAATTATCTCAGCAAATCCTTTCCATCTTTCACAATATTCTGTCATTTAAATTACCTTGATCTATTTTAACCTTATCTTACCTAAAAAACCCTGAAACTTAAAACTTAAAACTTATATATACCAAATTCTTTTAACCATAACATATTCTTTCATAATTCTTTTTGACATTTCTGCTAAAGCCAAATAATTTCATTCCAACATTTTTCTAATACTCATTAATTTTACAATACTTTTCTAAATAAATTTTTAAACTTTCTTCCAATCTTCATCCATCGTCTCTTCTTCCTGGTCTCGGGTTTTGTCAGTCCTTTCTCGTCTATCTAATCCATCAACCTGGTGCTCTTATGTCCGAGGCTCTTAAATCTTTTCCATGTCCCTTCTGCAGGTCTTCTTCTTGTTTATACCTGCCCTTTACTTTATCTTTTGTTGATCTTTTTCTTGTTTTCTTCCCTTTCTCATTGGGGGGTAGGTCTCGGGAGGACTCCAATCCAAAAGTATCTCCATCTCTCCTCAGCAGATCAGTCCATTCCCCACAGTCCCATTCCCCACAGTCAACACTGTAATCCAGAAAGTATTTAAAAGCATGTTTCAAAGTCTTTCCAAAATTAAGAGCCCTCACAACTCCAGAGCCCCCCTGGTCCACTCCGGATTCGAACTTCAAGAACAGCGGCTTATACTCCTGCAAGGCCTCAGGTCTCTCCATTTGTGTTATTTGAGGTTCAACAACAACCTCCTCCATTTTCTTCTGCCCTTGCGCTTGCCCTATCAAAACAGATTCCTGGGCTGGTTCCTGAATAGTTTCTATATGGGTATTTGCTGTTTGTCCAAAGTTTTTAACTGCAACAGTCATCAAATCCATCTTCTCATGCATCTGCTCCAGCAAGGCACTTGTCTTGCAAAAAGCAAGCACCAAGACTTCTTGTAAACACATTTTTTTCCCCAAGGTTAGAGTCTGGTCTCACGATCCTAATCATACAGCTGTGAGGTCCCCAGATCAGCTCCGGCAACAAATTAACAAGCTCCCTCTAGAGGAGACAATTTCTATTTGTATCCATCTTTTAAAAGCAGGACCAACAAGGAAAAGTTACTTTCACTTTTCAAATACTTTGTTTCTTATAATTGCAAGAAGCAACATTGGAATCAATATATTTCTCTCTCTCTCTTTTTTTTTACTATCTGTCAAAAGACGTTCCGTTCACAGTCGATGAACTTTCCCCATAAATTTCTATCTCTGACACCCCATTCCCAGGTTTGAGACGGTGGAAAGTTTATCTTTCTTTACTCTCTCTCCTGCAGGCTTAAACAGTCAAAAATCCCCCTCTTTTCTCCTACTTCCAAGAGGGGTTTTGGTGGTGATGAATGGAGGAAATTTAAAACTTTATATACAACTTTCCAGACTTTAGCTTAAAAAGTTTTTGCTTCAATCTATTTACAAAAAACGGGAGGTGGACTTCCTGTTTAGAACCTTCCCGTTTCGGAGCCAAATTAAAATATTTCTTAGTACTTGATCCAATTTTCCGTTCTACTCACGGGTACTTGTTTAGAGTCCAATTGTCCACAGGAAAAGGTCAGCGCTCTCCGGCAACGGCTGTGCGGCTTCACTCCGTAAAAGTAGCGGTTGATTCAAAACACCGCTTCGGACTCCCGAAAAAGGGGTTCCCTGCGAGTAGGGGAGGCACTCCTGGTGTCAGCTGAATCCCACGTTCCCAGGCTTCCTCCGCCTGGGATTTTTAAAGGGTCTCCGCCTTCGCCGCGGCGGCAAGACCCGATTTTCACGGAGCGGGTTCCTCTCTGTCAGAGGAACTCCGCCATTGCCGATGGCGCTGTCCCGGAAGTCTATTATTATATTTTGTTTATACCCTGACCACCTGGCTCGGTTTCCCCAGCCACTCTGGGCGGCTTACAGCATATATAAAAATACAACCAAACATCAAGCATTAAAAACTTCCCAATACAGGCTGCCTTCAGATGTCTTCTAAAAGTTGTGTCATTCTTTATCTCCTTGACACCTGAAGGGAGGGGATATCATCTCATGAACTTTGTTTCTTGTTCTCCTTCCACCTTAGGAGATGGTGATACAGAAATACTACACCCATGATCCCAACACCCTTGATTCCATGAGTAGAGGTGATGGATATGTTGTGACATTGTTTCAGGTTTCTTCAGTGCCTTCTGAACTCTGCTGTGCAGTCATGTTGCTAGGTGAATGAAGTGGGCAGGATTTTGAGAGGAAAGGCTGGCCATGGTGAAATGCCACTGGTGGGTTGCTACTGTCATCACACACAAAGGGGAAGTTATGCTCCCAGCAGCACAGCAAATGGATGACAGGAAGACCAGGAGGAAGCCTTGCAGTGGGTCTTCTCTAGTGCCAGGAAGCAGCAGAAGACAGAAGTACGCAAATAGTTGTTGTTTCGTTAAGAGCTGTTGTTGTTGTTGTTGTTCAGCAGAGCTGGAATATTGAATCTCACATCCACAGCAGCATCCTCACTTGGTTCCATAGCTCAGTGGTAGAGCATTTGCACTGCATGCAGAAGGTCCCAGGTACAGTCCCTGGCATCTCCTGATAGGGCTGGGAATGTCACCAACCTGGAACCCTGGAGAGCCACTGTCAGCCATGGTAGACAATGCTGAGCTGCGTGGATCAAAGATCTAGCTCGGTATAAGACAACTTCCTACACTCCTCCTTTTTCCAGTTGTATGGCAGAACTGCACAAAACATATGTCCATTAAGGAGCCATGCTCACTCTTTTGCCGGTTGCTTTATGACAGACAGCTCATTGCATGTGGCTCCTTCCTTGGTGCCCAGCACTCGCTTCCTCTGCTGAGATGATACTGGCAGGATAGGTGATGGCACCTTAGTAATGGCATTTGGGGTCTGCTGCTCTGTCACTCTGTCCTTTGCACAGGTCCTTTGCTCTGCAACAGAACTAGGAGCAAACCCAAGGGATACAGAGCTTTAAAGCATGAACCCACGCCTAGAAAAAGTGAGGCAAAAGGTAAGTGTGGATAAGCCCTTAGGCTCTGGAGTGGCCCCACCCAACCAGGCTGGCCTTTGACCTATCCCAACAGGAAGAGCTGCAAAAGACTTCCTGTTTGAGGTGGATCTTTGCCTGAGCAACAATAATCCTCCTCCAGCTATTGCTTTGTTCCTTGACCTAACCTCCCAGCTCTGACCCCTTGGACAACCTCAAACAGCTAAGCCTTGACAATACATTACAGGGAAGGAGCAGCATCTGTTTTGCATGCAGAATGTTATGTACTGAAGTTCTCACCCTGGGATCTCCAGGGGGATACTGTAGATAGTTATGCAAATGAAGGATCGAAAGTGATGTTCAGTGATTGGATAGTTTGTATGCAAATGAAGGATCGAAAGTGACATTCAGTGATTGGATAGTTTTAGAAAGTTGCTACAGTTACGTTGTTCTGGAGCTCTATATAAGCAGGCTGAGTGAACCCTTCAGTTCAGTTCTATTCTGGCCTCTGAATAAACAAGAGCTGTTTGAAGAATTGCTGTGTCGTCTGATATGTTCACCCACAACTTAACACAGAAGGTAGCAGGTTTAATCCCTCGCATCTCTAAGTTGGGCTGGAAATGCCCCCTGTGCAAAACCTAGGAGAACTGCTGCCAGTAAGGGCTGCCAATACCAAGTTAGGTGCACCAATGGTCTGACTCAGTATGAAGCAGCATTCTGCGTTCATATTTTGCCCCTTATGTCCACCTTGTTCCATTCACTAGTAACTGCACACAGCAAGAGTAAGGCTGATTCGCAGCTCCAAGCAACCGTCTTTGGCTTGTGCTAATTCTGAACTACTGTAACTTTAGTGACTGAAACAGAATGAGGTCCCTGTTCTGAAAAAGCAATTGATTGGGTCTCCTTTCATGCATAAAGAACACTGCTAAACCAAGCCATTAATCTTAATTTGCAGAAGGAGAGGCAAGTGAGATCTTCAAAGTTCTATGAGAATGTTAAAAGGCACTGGTAAGACTCAAGACACAGCCTTTTCAAAATCCCAGCCTTTTAAAATCTTACAAATGTTTAAATGACTGTTCATTCAGCTGACGTCTGGTGGATCTCCTCATCTCTCTCATACTACTAGAACTTGGGCTCATGCAACGGAGCTGAATATTGGAAGATCAAGGGCAGACGACAGAAAATGCTTCTTCAAACAATGCATGGTTAATTGTGGAATTATGGAATCACTCGCGCTAAATGTAATTATGGTCACCGACTTGGATGACTTTAAATGAAGATTAGACAAATCAGTGCAGGATAAGGCTATCAATGGATACTAGCCACAACAGCTATGCTGTACCTCCGTTGTTGGAGGCAATGGGTCTCTGGATGCTAGATGCAGGGAATTGTAAGTGGGAATAGAACTATTGCATTAAGGTCCTGCTTAGGGGTCTGCTTAGGCACCTGGCTGGCCCCTGTGAAAGCCAAATGTAGGACTCGGTGGACCATTGGCCTGACTGCACAGGTGTTAGGATTTTTATCTATCCGAGCTGCTCCAGTGAGTGGTACTATGTATACATCATGTGTGTGTGTCTGAGTGAGCGTGAGAAAGGAAGTCTGTATTATCTCTTCCTTTGAGTACTATTGGAAGTTAGTTTCACTTCTGTGTGTGTCGCAGGGTTTCTGTACTGGTGTTCAAAGAGCACAGACGTACTGATGGAGTCTCTGTATATAGGACTGTAAATAAAGTAGCTTTAGAACTACGATTGAGTCTTTCTTCTGCTATGATATGCCAGAAGACTGGCGTGCTCTTTTCAGAAGAGGAGGGTCACCTATTACCGGTCTCTCTGGACTGAGGGAGATTTATAGCCAGAGAGGACCACCGGAGAGATGCCCCAAAGACTTGGGAAGTTGGCAGCCATTCGCAGGGTGTATTTCCAACACGCCCCTCTGATGTTCTTCCACCATCTCCTTAGCTTAAGAATGGGGTGGGTTTGGGATGATAAGGTTTTTGCAAGCATTCTTCTTGACATTTGTGTGAAAACGTTATTTGTGGTAAGGGGATGTTTAGCAACCTACTCCTCCTAAGTTGTTCTCCAGGCAAACAGGAGGACATTCACCACCTCAGTTTTCTTCCACTCCTTGCCTCTCCATCATTCATGTTTTCATTTTCAATGTGCTGCTCAGTCTTTCCTGTTTCACCATTAACACTCTGGTGGAGACCAGAAACAACCGACAGCATTGCGAGTTCTCCTTGAGGAAGGGCCGTAGCTTAATAGCAGAGCATCTTCCTTGCGCTCAGAAGGTCCCAAGTTCAATCCATGGCATCTCCAGGGATGGCTGGAAGAGACCCCTTGTCTGAAACCCTGGAGAGCCACTCCCGGTCAGTGTAGACAGTCCTGAGCAAGGTGGACCAATGGCTGACTCTGTGTAAAACAGCTTCCCATGTTCAAATCACTTTCTCTTATTAGTTCCTTCTTGTCTCCATTTAATTTTATTTTTCTCAAGTGTTCTTCTTCATCACACAACCTTCCCCCAAGTCCCCATTTTTCAGTCCTAACCTGCACTCTTCCTTCACAGTGCAAGCCTGTACATGTCTACTGAGAAGTAAGCTCTACAAAAACTGGTACAGTGGTACCTCAGATTACATACGCTTCAGGTTACATACACTTCAGGTTACAGACTCCGCTAACCCAGAAATGGTGCTTCAGGTTAAGAACTTTGCTTCAGGATAAGAACAGAAATCGTGCTCCGGCAGCACGGCGGCAGTGGGAGGCCCCATTAGCTAAAGTGGTGCTTCAGGTTAAGAACAGTTTCAGGTTAAGAACGGCCCTCCGGAACGAATTAAGTACTTAACCTGAGGTACCACTGCATAGGATTGCAGTCTCAGTCATCTTGTTTCTGGGCTCTCTGCTCTTCAAGTATCCTTTGGGTATCTCTGAGGTTTTAGGCCCAACAAGACTGACAATTTCCCCTTGCCTCAGACTGTCAACATTCTGCAAGTCTTTTTGTTGGGAAGCTGGGACATTCCATGTGAACATTCCATACCATCACCAATTGGAATTAGAGACTTCCCACCAGAAAAGGAATAAAATATAGAAATATCATTGATCATCCTCTTCCAGAACTTACTGCTGGGTTGGCTAGATTTTATCATCTTCAGAGTAGGCTGTCAAAGAATCATCTTTTTAAAAGGGGAGGGGATTATGTTTCTGAGCCATTTTGTGGACAACAGTGCCAATCTTTGATATGTTTTGAGAAAAGATTCCTGCTACCCACTCAAACTGTTTTGCCAATACCAATACTTTTCTTTGAAACGCAAAACTAAAGTGAGTGTTGCCGGAAAGCATATTTTCCATTTATTAAAAGGCTCAAACAGGAGAACTTACCCACAGGGCTGAAACTGTCAAAGCGTCTCCTGCAATCTGTTGTTTGGGAGCGCCGAGTTTACTTTTTAGCATATTCCATGTGTTCTTCCTTTCAGAAGTTATCATTTTCAGAAAGCTGGAAGATGCACATGTATCAATAATCACACTCAGTTGCGCCTTGCTGGCTGTCAGTATTGCGTTTCTTCCCCCAAGGTCTGAAGGCAGAAAGCATAATGCCAGCCTTAAAAATTCATGCGTCATAGTAATGTTGTAGTCCTTGAATTCGTTATGCAATCGTTATTGCACATTAACATCTCATTCTGTTGACAGGCATTACAATTTGCACAGAGAATGAAGATGCTGTTCTCTCCTCCGCCCCAAGGTGCTTCCAATAAAACTTGCATGCACATTCCATGTAGATACTTTATGGTATCTATATCGTGAGAATATATATCATTGTCTTGGAGCACCCGTTACTACTATTTGTTATTATGAATTGCATTTATTAGTTGCTTTTTAAAAAAAAACAAGCACCACATATTTAAAGCACATGATTTCCCCTGAAAGAATCCCGGGAACTACAGTTTCCCACTCACAGAACTACAATTCCCAGCACCCTTAGCAAATCCTGGAATTTGTGGTGTGTGTGCTTTGAATGAATGGTGTGGATCTGCCCAAAGCATAAACGTGACTTAATACAGCAAAAACAAGAGAAAATAGAAAACTGAAAACAATGTACATATCTAAACTGCCGATCCAATAAGATAATAAGGACAAGTCCTACCCACCTCACTAAAAATACCTCATGTATTTCTACTAGAAGCAAAACAGTCCTGAAATATTTGAGTTGTGAATAAGGACAGGGATCAAAAGCAAAAATTCAGATACAGTGGTACCTCGGGTTACTTACGCTTCAGGTTACATACGCTTCAGGTTACACACTCCGCTAACCCAGAAATAGTGCTTCAGGTTAAGAACTTTGCTTCAGGAGAAGAACAGAAATCGGGCTCCAGTGGCGCTGCGGCAGTAGGAGGCCCCATTAGCTAAAGTGGTGCTTCAGGTTAAAAACAGTTTCAGGTTAAGAACGGACCTCCGGAACGAATTAAGTACTTAATCTGAGGTACCACTGTACTTGCTCTGTTCAGAGATATTGGACGTAAGTTTGCAGTTCCACTGGAAATTATGTTCACTGTTGACTGCCTGCAAACTGGGATCTGGATGTCCAAATAAAATAATGCAAACTGGTGTCATGAAATTACTTTATGTCACACGTAGAAACAAATGCAAACAAACATTTGTTGCAGTACAGCACAGAGCAGCAGGTGGCATGGTCAATGCGACTTGCAGAGCTCAGTGATTACGGTCATTGGGCCAGAGCCATCTAATCTTCTGGACTAGTTGGTGTGATGTGGCAGAGGTATTCTCATTTCTACGTGGAAGAGGGTTAAGCACAAACACGGGCAACAAACAGGTAAGCACATTCTCTCATGGCTGGAGCAATCAAGTCATGGAGTATGTCTCTCATCTCAGGGTTCAGCAAAAAATCAAATTCATGAAAACACACAGCAATTTACTGAAGCGGCAACACCCCAGCAACATGAGAATTAGCACGCAAAGGCGTTAGCAGCATGGGAATTGCAGTCTAATTAGAACCGCTCCAAGTCAAGTGTCAGCAAGTTAATCAGCCTGAAATCCCTGAAATGGCACCAACTAAATGTATGTTATGGGGTTTTTCTGTTTGTTTTTAAAGTAAAATTGCAGCAAACACAATTCAAAAAGCTATGCTGTAGAACCCTATTGGATTCTTTCTGCTGGATCAGGCCAATGGCCCATCTAATCCAGCATCCTGTTTTCACAGCAGCCAACCAGTTGTCTGTGGGACAGCAGCAAGCTGGACCTGAGCAGACAAGCACTCTCTCTTCCTTTGGTTTCCAGGAACTGGTATTCAGAAGCATTGATGTCTTCAACTGTGGAGGCAGAGCAGGGACATCATGGCTAATAGCCATCCATAGCACTTCCCTCCACAAATAAAACTCCCCCGGGGCTATGCAAAAGGGTTTCAAAGGGTGCACAGCAAAATTTGCTCTAAACTGGTTTTAAAAAATATTATTAAAACCAGTTCCAAATTATCTTCACCCAAGAAGGGGCACAACATAAGGCTAAACTCTCAAAAGGACTATGTGATTATTGTAAGTTTGGGAAACACTGTTTCAGGGAGCCCAATGGACAGGAGCCAATCCTAATAGTACCAAGGTACCTGGGCAGTTATCCTTCCACAAGGGATGCCAAAATCCAACATCACTTGAGCTCTCTAAGTGCAGCTTTCTCCTGACTGAAGCACAGAGTGTTTGAGGACCGGGACATTCGCAGGGAAACCAAAATGCTCATTTACAAAGCTATTGTACAACCAACTTCACTGTATGCTTCTGAAACATGGATCACTTATAAACGCCATCTCTAACTCCATGAAAGTGTCCATTAACGGTGTCTCAAAAAATTTTTACACATCACTTGGGAAGACAGACGAAGTAATGTCAGTGTATTGGAAGAAGCAAAGATCACCAGATTCTTCAACATCAACTTTGTTGGACTGGTCATGTTGTTTGGATGCCTGATTATCGCCTTCCAAAGCAACTACTCTATTCCCAACTCAAGAATGGAAAGCGAAATACCAGTGGACAACAAAAGAGGTTTAAAGACTCTCTCAAGGCAAATCTTTTAAAAATGTAGCATAAGCACTGATAACTGGGAAACACTGGCCTGTGAGAGCTGAAATTGGAGAACAGCCTTTACCAAAGGTGTCATGGACTTTGAAGAAGCACAAACTCAGGGTGAAAAGGAGAAAGGAGCTAAGAGGAAGGCATGTTTGGCAAACTCTCACCATGATCAACTCCCTCCCAGAAACTTATGTCCCCACTGTGGAAGGACGTATGGATCCAGAATTGGCCTCCACAGTCATTTATGGACCTACTGTTAAGATCATGTTTCTGGAAGGCAATCTTACTCGGCTATGAGTGATTGCCATTAAAAGGAGAGAGAAGTACCAAGGATATAATTTTGAACTTCTGAGAAGCAAGATGTTCCTTATTGTCTTCCCCACCCACACCCCGTCAAAACATGTTGGGACTCTCCACTTTGTGAAGAAACAGCCCTAAAATAATTCTGCTACTGGAATGACAGCTAGGTTTTTATCTATCCATTCATTTGAACGTTTGTAAACTCCCCTTCTTCACAACAAATCCCAGGGCAGGGTACAGAATGCAGATGGCATGAAATCCATAGCTGTCAAGTGTCCCTTATTTGAAGGGACAGTCCCTTATTCCAGCGCCATGTCCCGCTGCTGTCCCTTATTGATGGATGTCCCTTAAATGTCCCTTAAATGATGTCCCTTAAATTTCAAAGGAAGCAGTTCCTCTCCCTCCCTCCCTGCCGGCCAGGGAGGAGGGAAGCTCCAACTGTGTTGCTTGGCTGTGTTGCTCACCCAATAAGAAGTCTAAGAACGACTGGGGGGTGTAGCTTGCATGCCTTGTGTGTGGCTAGTTAATGCAAGCTGAGGGGGTTTTTGAATGCTGGGCACCATTTTGTTGCACGTGCTGTTGCAAACTTTGCAGTGCAAAGCCAGGCCGGGGAGCCATCTTAAGTTGAGGCTGCATAGGCCTTGTGGTGCATGTGATTCAGATTCTATTCAGTTGAACCTCTGGTTACAAAGTTGGTTGGACAGTGTTCTCGAAGCTACCCAGCATGAGTTTGACCAGACTGCAGGAGGACAGGAAGACTGGAGTGCCTGGAACAGGTGAGGCTGCAGGTCCCTTATTTTGGCTGCTGGTCCCTTATTTTCAAGGCTGCTGGTCCCTTATTTTCAAGGCTGCTGGTCCCTTATTTTCAAATCTGTAAGTTGACAGCCATGATGAAATCACATTAAGATGCCCATAAAACCAGTTTAAATAACAAGAGCAGCAGAAACT